ACTTTTAGTGTCTCTTCTGCCAAGACCTGTGTGGATCCCCTGATTTCCCACTGATTGTGAGTTTATTCCCAGACCAAAGAATTTACCTTGAAGAAATATTTCGTCATAGCAGAGCAGTAATGGGATCCAATATAATTTTTTGGTGCTGCATGAGTCAGCATGGAGAAGAAAAGCAAAGCAAACACCTTAAATTGAGGACATCCCTGTTCTGGGCCGCGCCCATGTGAGAAGGATATAAGGAACACTGGAAAGAACGAGCACAGCGGGGCCGGGCGGAGAAGGGGGTAGGGGAGCAGCAGAAAGCCGCAGCGGTAGGCATGAGTGGTTGCTTGGGATTACCATGGTTGCAAGCTTCATGTCTGCAGCGCCCTTTGTGCGCCGAGAAAGTGCCACAATCAACTAAAAACTTCCTTTTCCTCCGCAGAGGAATTGTTTCAATGAATCAAACCGCGTTCTATACATTTAAGGCATTGCGTGAGTTACGACATTAAAAAGGATGTGTTGATATCCCCAGCAATAAAGAATGACAGGAAAGCATCGATAAGTCTAAGACGAAAGCCCCTCCCAAGCAGTTGATTCCGGAAGATGTACGAGAACATTCCGAAAAATCGAGTGTAAAGGCGTTAGGCCTATTGATTCCACATCGAGATCAGTGTTTTCATCTTTTATTTCACTTTATTTTGCAAACTTCACAACCAGGAAAATGCTCTGGCCATTGTACGGAGGTTGTGCAGCGTGGCGCCGCTTAACTCTTGCGCGGTCCCGGAGTGGAATCCAGGATCGCATCCCGAATGAGCCATTTATGCCTACCATTTCTCGTGGATGGGTTTTCGGTGGATGGTTCCCATTCTTCGGATTAATGGCTGCGAAGCGAAATCGCAGACTTTACCGTCAGCTTACACCTGACTCCTTGTGAGACCACTCGAATTCGCTTACGATTCCTGAACTGGAAGTAGAGTGCTTGGCCCATTATAGATCAATGAATATCAAATGCACACTGTATTTCCCACTTGTCGCTTCACTTTCACCGTGACGATAGTTAACTTTTTATTACCTCATTACGGTTAATCCCAACCCCTCTCTAAGCTTTATGAGGCTATCTCGTCAAGGAGGAGCCACCTTGGTTAGGCGGGCGAACGCTGCTAACAGCTTTTGTGCCTCAGCTTCTCCGTGTTGAGGTGCAGAATCTTTGCAATTACACAGAGAGAGACTAGGTAGACTCAGGTAGACTGGTCTACTTGTTCTAATGGAGGAAACTGCTCAATTCCACTAACGGTATAGTGTGATCCTAATGGTAACTTGTCTCTTAAGTCATTTGGAAGAGCGATGTGTACAAGTGGGACAGGCGGTTGTAGGAATGCTTTTTGCATGCTCAAAAAAGAACAGCGTTCTTTTTTGAGCATGCAAAAAGCATTCCTACAACAAAAACTGAGAATGTAAGCTTATCAAAACCTCATGAAAGAACTGCAAGAAAAGACTCAGCTAGCACTGCAACGCGGGAATCAACATAGAAACGAGCTGAAATTCAGTATTTGGCTAGTTTTTTTCGTCGCTGCGAATTGTTTTTCTAGCAGAGTTAGTGAGAATGTAAACGAATTAGTAAGCCCTACAAGCAGGTAATTAAAGGAGAAATTCACGATTAGAATGGAGGTTGGAGAAGGAATAATTCTCCTAATTGGGGGACGGTACCTCCGAGGGTGTGGACTGAAAGCCGCAATTGGGAACCGAAGGAGTGAACTCGGTGGCTGGTAGGCGTCAATCATAGTGGCGGGTAGGGCGTTCGCTATACGAAGTTATTGCGGGTCACCAGCCGACAGTACCCTCGCCTTCAAATGACCAGAAATTGTGCAATTGCAGAAATTGACGTGGCATTAACGTGGCATCGATTCAAGAACATCTTTGAGCACACGTGATGTCACCTTTTTCATCGAGATTTAGCCACGTGTGCCAATGCCACGTCAATTTCTGCAATTGCACAATTTCTGGTCATTTGAAGGCGAGGGTACGTGGCGAGTGATTAGATAGCTGAGAGAGCGTAGTGTTGAAGAGGGCACAGCGATGAGAGTCGCATCAATGCTCAAATCAACGGGCAAGGAAGGGGTCCATTTCTCGGGTTCTGGGCCGTTTCTCATGGTTCTTCCTTCTTTAGTGTACCACTCACCATCGCTAAGTTAATTTGAAATGCGGTTGCGTTTCCAGCGTAAACCTGTCCTTTGACAATGTAATCCTAGGTGTAAAGTCGGAGTGCCCACACTTTCGAGCTCCCGTCCGTGAATAAGTTATCTGCGTCTGTAGGAAACAGTACGCAAAAAATTTAATTTAGCAGTAATGCCAACAAAAGTCCTTGCCAATCAAAGTCCTAAAGTCCCTCTAGGGCACAAATATGAGGCCTATTCCTTCAGAGCTCTCTACAGTGGGATAGAAATGCTCAGCCCCATGCAGTACTAGTTGGCATTTATCAAATATTTTTTTTTGCGGATACAGCAACCATAGAGCTCCATCTGCGGTGGGGCGCATTTAAATGCTTCAACCTGCACAACGATTTTTTTGAGCCTAGCGATGCTTGTTCGGGAGTCACAATTCAAATTTTCTCAGTATGGCAACAGTTACGTTCTCAGAGTGTGATGAAAAGCTCGCTCTGCTTAAAGCAGTGTCCCAGCAGAGGTCGTGTCGAAGAATCTGCTCTGTGGGTGGATAGAGTACCCACGTTTATGACAGATGCGCCGTGGTCGCGTTTCGAAAATGCGCAGCAATGGGGCTAGATCTTTACAAATGGGACGAATGATCTCAACTTATGGACGAGATCTCGTACGCACCTATGACGCGCAATATGGACCACAGCATAGCGGCTAACTCAACTGCACACCATGGAGCAAGGAAACTCGTCTAGATCCGCTCTTCCTTTAGTTAGGAGGGGAGGAAGAGCGGGGAGTACTTTTCAGTGACTCGATCGACGGCTTTCGTTGCTTTTTCTTTCATTTTTAGTCAACTCGGCATCCACAACACCATTATCAAACGCTGTCACCTCACCAGTCTTGATCAGAGTATTTTGCTTTGAACGAGGTTTCAACAAGTATCATAGGGTATGCTGGCTGCATATGTAATGGCGCCTCCATCACTTGTCAACTTCTTCAAAAAAATGTTGCAGCTTACCTTACCATTAGATCTAAGCAGCCACTCTGAAGTAAGAGTTGGTCTCAGTAAGGAGAGCGATTAGGGTCAACCAGATCGAAGTCAAAGGAGAGTTATCTAGACAATGAATTCGCTTACATACACTTCAATCATTGAAACTGCTGAAAACTTGGGCAGTGTTTGAGCTCCGCGCTCTACCACGCGGATGCCACTCAATGATGTGACGCTCTCGTGGTATCATAGGGAAACACGAGATCACCGACGCTGTAATTATCGAACGCTTATGCTCGAATAAAAAATATGACACATTAATAATCAACAATCGAAGCAGCTTTCTAATCACCCATCGCGTAATAAAGTGGGACACTTTCGTAAATCATTCATTCTGACAAACATGCATGCAACCCGAAATTGGAGGAGCATTTCAGGATGTATAATTTTGCCGATTTTTCGCAATCGACCTTTCAATCTGTTTTTGGCAGGCTACTATAATCTGGGATAAATGTGTGATCACGAGTGAAAGTCGGGAGACGTTCAGTTCTCCTCCTGGGGTCAGGTCACCAGAGCTGCGCGATCATTGAAGCTAAGGTTAAGCTTGGGTTTAGATTAGGCTTAGGCTTATGCTTACACATTGGCTTATGCTTAAGCCTATGATTGGGCCTAGGCTTAGTCCTAAGCTTGCTTCGAGCAAATGAGTGGTGTCTCAATTTTAGGTGACCTGACCTGAGTAGAAGAACTGCAACGCTCCTTGAACGTCCTAATTTCGAGAAATGCCATTGAGAGGGCAACAGCGGTAACGTCACCCTCCGATTCCAAGGCAGTGACAGATTTTATGAGACCAATTCTGCAATAGAACCACTGTTTGGGCGGTAATTTTACCTAACGTATCGGTGGGCTGGTGATCGGTCATTTGAAGAAAAGGCTTGTGAATCGTTTGCAACTGCGGGATTCATTGCAAATCACCCAGATTATTTCAGACTCTACATGGCTCCTGTCGCACCACCGGCACCGCCAGTCGTCCCTCAAGAATCTCCAAGCCGGCGCATCGAAGCACGTCTTAGACAGCGGATGATCAATGAGCGCCTGCGAGCAGTACACGGTTGGTCTAGCCTATTGCTTGAGTTTTTGAGTTCTACATTCAGACAGAAAAACATTATGATTTCTGAGAAAGCGAAAAATTGAGTCACTGAAACTCTTGAGCTAAAATTTGTGCCAAGAATTGAATGCCCTAAAACAAACAGGGGAGTCCGGTCCGATTTCCATTGAAGACACAAAACGGATTGGTCGCCCCACTTTCTTACTCGAATTTTTTTCTACTCAGCTTTTTATTCTGAGGAAACAGAGCATTGTAAGTGAAACAATTGGACTGAATATGTAGTAGGAGTAAGCAAACAATAAGCAAACAACAAGCCAAACAAGCGCTCTCTACACAACTAGCGCTCTTGCGGCCGGATGAGCATGATTTGTAAGCTTTAAGGTAATTCAGTTTTTCAATAATCGTGCTATTGGAAACAATTAGAAAATATCGATAGGCATGTTAGGATTGAGCCGCGTATTTCACCTACAGTAGTGGTTACATAGACAATCAAGGATCTATCCGGCCCATTCGCTTAAGTTCATGCTTACATTTCTGCAGCGAAGTACCAAAGGTATCCAACCAACGATCTTGGCACCAATTTTGTGTTGTTTACCCTCTCCATGTACTTTATTTTTGACGAATAACATAATAAGAATGAGTGGAGGTTATTGTTGAGCAAAGTTTTTAGTTGAGAAGGCAACAGAATTTTCCATAAAAAAAAACCTTGAAGCTGTCTCCCCATACAAGTCATAACACTGTCACCCAAGGCCCATTTGTGTCACTTGAGCGCCACGATGACTTCCAAACACATTTCCCTGATCCACGATGTGGAGAAGGGTGGAAACAGTGACCTCGATGCCTTTTAGGTGTGTTTTGGAAAATACTTGGGGATAATCGTATTGGTACTTGAACCTCATGAAATACGAGGTTTGTTCAAAAACCTCTCGAGCCTGTGAGTGAGAGTGGAGCTCAAATTAGGTGGAGCTGACAATGAATCCATGCCCACCAAAAAGGGAAATCGGCTGATAAACCTTCTTCAGTGCCTGTCGCCGGCGACGATGGGAAGACGTCAATACAGGAGCTGATGGATCGATATTTGAATAAATCAAGAGAATCCGTGGCCAACGGCATGACGCCGCCACCTCCTTCGGCAGTGAGGCCGGAAGCTGGCGAACCGGATGAGATCAGAAGACTCGTCAATAGGTCAGTGATGTTTTCTTCTTCAATGGAATCTTTACTGCCATGAAAATGCCCTCTTGTAGGTACTGCTCACCCAGCGCCGAGCCACGAGACTACGACTCTCACCCGTCCAACAGCCACACTGTCGAAGATCCCCACATCGATTCGAAGTTGGTTTACGTTCTTTTCAACATCTCAAGTGCTTCTTCATGTGATGCCTTTGACCTCTTGAGCAGTTCTGTACAGTAAACTCAGGCTATGACTTCACGAACGCCCGCAATTTCAGATATTTCTGGTTTCAGAGTAGAAGTACAAATGCCAAAAAACGTCTATGTAAGCGGAAATGATCAACAAATTCGATGGAAACCTGGTACTAAAGGTCAGACATCATCACCTATGAAAAAATCATCCGGACATACAAGTGAGTCCTTTTTGATGTTCTTTTTTTTCAGTTTCATCTAGCAAATTTTCCCCTTTCCTACTGCTTTAACCTACCTCCTTCTCGTATTCTCCCTTTCGAGAGCCAAAGATCCGTGCTTATTTGGAACACAATTCCACCTAGGCGGTTTTTAGCTGCTTTTTCTTTTCGAAAACCCTTTCCCAGGGGTGAAAAACACTGAACAGGAAATAGAATACTGTACCAGCTAGGCTTCATGACCCGTATGATCACATCAGAATCGGGTCAGTTGTAGCTTTCTCAACAGTTTGATGGCGATCGTTTTCATTTTCTGCGGTCGTCGACCGGAATCGTCGTCGGTTGCAACGATTGCCGATGGTTTCACCTTTGTTTATTCTGCGCTGCTCTCATTTCGTTCAATGGGCCAGTGACGTCATCGTGAGGACGTCTTCCGGTTACGGTTCATCACTCGAGCAGATCCCTCTGGTGGGCCCTACGGAAACAGAAGGGTAATGCAAAGATCGCCGTCACCTAAGTGGTTCTTGGAAGTACATAACATCACTCCCATCGCAGTACAAGTGAATTGTTGTAATCATCTCCGATTAAAAGTACTGCAGTACAATCAGTTTAGCCGAGTGCATGAGAAAGGTCACCAGGCAGTACTTTATGTTTCATCAGCAGGTAGTCGTTATGCGTCACCTGATTGTGACTGAGCGAACAGAGCGGCTGTTCGTTCGGCTGTTTGAAATGAGCAAATTTCACTCAACTCTGGGGGAAAGCGCCGTTAGTACTACTGAACAGATGGAACTGGACTGATGATCAAAGATACAGAACTATCCGTTATGATATTTATTCCGAGGGAAATCTGTGGGTTCTTTTGCCTAGTGATTGTCTTGATCAATCGGAGGCAGTTTTTGTTCCGATTACGAGGATCTCCTGAGGTGTTCTTATCCAGACGTTACTACATCGCAAGCGAAATAGTGTGTGTGTATCTTCCCTTGCTCTCAGTAACATCGTTGTTCTCCGTATCCCTCAGCTTTGTCCCTTCGACTCACTGATCAATTCTCCTCATCGTGAGCAGTTGTTCGCCTCCGCCTCTCACCTCACTTCACATCCGCTCTTGTCCTATGATCTCATCCAATTCGTTCAGACATTCAATCATTTCCCTATGAAAATCTCGCTTCATTAGCTGCTTCATTTTCTGTTTTTTCTCAAGGGCGCCCATTTTATCCGATTGACGTCGGGCTTACATCATTTAATTTCTGACAGCTTCGACGTTCGTTGCAATTAATTGCAGAAAATGAAACAATTTCCCCTTCACAACGTTTTTCTCACCATCAAAATCACATTTTCCCGAACTAAGCCGGCAGCCACAAAATTGCCATGGACCAAACTGATGTTCCTCATTGTCCTCAGAGGGGTTGCTGAAAGTGAGAAACGCCCGTAACACACTGACCGACCCGGTTTCGTAAGCTTTTTAATAACCACAGTGACCGCTTTGGTCAGATTGTGTTGCCCTCGTTTGAGCTCGCCATATTGTAATGGCGCTGGGCTTCCTCGTTTACAGTGTTCTCTGCTCACCGTCTGGCCTCGCTTTCTCAGATGTTCCTCCGTTGTACACCCTCCCCAGCCGTCCACTACTCGCCCTTCATTCTTATCACAATGTATATTCCGCATTCCGTTACAATGAGCAGTTTAGGCTTGCAATCATTTTTCTCGCTACAAAACCTTTCACTGTTCCTTCGCTGCGGCTTCCCAACTCCTCCACATGCAGCCCTGCCATATTCCTTATATGTATTTGTAGGTGAAGACTTTTTAACCCTTTGGTGTGAAACACTCCCTCCCCCACACCTTTTTCCATCGCCTGGCTCTTCAGATTGTCCAGCACGTATACGGCACATGATAAAAGTAGGAAGACCATGTGAATTGCTGGAAGAAGTAAATCTCATTGCCTAGAGAGGCTTTGGACATTGTCCCTCATTGTCTTAGAAGCAGTTTAGTATAGATTGCTAGCTATGCCCGACTGAGATAAGACAACACAAATGCCTTTTTTCAACGAGGAAATTTAACCAGAATGGGTAGAGCTGAGGTAACGACTCCCTACCTCGTTTCCGTGAGCAGTTCCATTAACTGAGTGTGCCATCCCTATCGACTCGAGCTCACATTTGCGCTGTGGTGGGGGTGGGCGTTAAGGGCTCACATTTAGACCTGCGTACTTCGCGGTACCAGCAAGAAGCAGTTGTATGATAGGCACAATCCACAATGCAAACACGCTTTTTAAGTGTCATAAATTAGGTCATGGATAGTGTGCAGCAATGCATCTAATAATGGTTTCGCGTACCTTCTTCAGCAGCAAGCAAGCCTTCTTCTCATTTGCCAGAGATGGAAAAATAGGATTTGTTCTCTTATCGGCTCAACTCCCAACTTTGAATAAAACTAACCATCAAATTCCGCGGCGTATTTCACCATAGTTCTGTGAAGCCGGCCTGACAACCCAACGCTGGGCTGTTCGATGATGCTGACTATTCGATGAGCATGGAATCGCTTAATAAGCATGGTAATAATAATTGGAAGCAAATCGAATAGTGGAAATTAGGTCCACTTTTTCTTTCATCTGGCAGGGCATTGTGTGATCTACGTATATCAGGCAAATGATCGATGTTCCCATGTGAAACAAAAATTTCCACAATCACTGGTACGCGAGCCTGGAATAGCCCAAAGATATGGTCTAAATTTGCAAATCTTTCACCGGTTAAAAGCAATTTCACCGTTGTGCAGACCTTCATAGGTGGATTCAGCACCTCCCAAAGAGTAACGCACAGTAGCAACGACAAGAAAGAGATACTGGATCGGTTGTATGAACACGAGAAATGGAAGAACAATTCCACAGAATTGAAAGGAAGATCGTGTACTACTGCACGAAAAAACGGTCATCGGTCTTCTCATGTTCATTTCATTAGAACTCCAGAAGCCTCGGGTATTTCAGAAGTGCTGGCGCATTTACACTTAAGACCACCAGAAACGTGGTCTTTGCTTACAGACTTACAAAGGTTGGATTTTTCTTGTTTGTCTGGTCGACAAAGGAACTGAATTGCTGGGAAGCTCCATGAAATTGTTTTTATTGATCGAATTTTTCTTCGACTGCCACTATCGTCAACCATTTTTTTTCGTAGCGTTTCCTTGAAAGGGGGAGGCCATGGAAAAAAACAAAAAAAAAGGGCCGAGAGTGTTACTTGATGTAGTCCTCCATCGACGAAGAAAAGAAGAAGTGTCGAGACAAGCGGGAAAGCGACTTTCATGATTTACGAGTTATTCTACTTGCTTAAAGCTGCTTCTACCGGGGCACTTGTCATACACCACTTATGCGGCGGAAGTGGTGTAGTGACAAGTGGCGCGCTCACCACGCGAGCGGTCCGGGATCAAATCCTGGGTCGTGAGTCGCCCGGGCCAACCAAGCCTTCCATCCCTCCGGGGTCGGTTAATTGGTACCAGACTTGTCTGGGAGGATAAAAACACTGACTTGAACATCGGCTGGCCCCCGCAAGTCATTGTATAGGCCACATCGCATTCAAATGCCACTGCGAATGTACAAATGGAAGTAGAATGCGTGCCGCATCCCAAAAAGGGATTGATCAACGGCAAATGCTTTATCCTTTTTTTTATTACCGCTTCTACCAGCTTATTGCGTTCACAAACAATCTAGGGGTGTTGTCGTTTTCGCTATGATGCTGGATAATATTAGATTCAAGTTACGATTTCGGCTGCGAGAGAATAACTCGATTCTCCTGCTTTGCCCATCTCGTTGTGCTGTGAAAGGTAAAAAAGAAGAGCCGAGCATGGTCAATCTCTACAAAGATGCGCCACACTTTCTGTTTCCATTCAAAATAATAATTAGTGCGATTTGGCCACAAGACCGGCAGAAGGCGGTTGTTTTCATCCTTTTAAACAAATTTGATAGCAATTGACTGAGCCTGGGGGATGGTGCTCCTCATGGCACAGTGCGCCCGAGCGCCGATATGAGATTCGACATTTGGAGCGAGAGGAAATTTAAGTGCGCCGCTTGCCACTGCAATACCTGTATCCTCTAGAGGTTTCATGGCTCAAGAATAAAACGGACAAGCATCCGATTTTTTTTAATTATTGAGTAGAGCAAATGATTGGGTGTCGCCAGCGACCCCTAAGGAAGTGCGTCTGCCTTCTCACTGTTTTTTTTATGGCGAAACTTCCTTATCAAGTGGCTCAAAACACTTCGTGCGACTCCTCTGAAACAACTCATATTCACTGACTCATCGGTTGCTGATGTGCTGATCACTGTTTTTCTCTCGTCGCTCATTCGTGGGCGGCTTCCGGGCTTCTTCCAACCTTTGAACGTTCTATTTATCCCCAGCTTTTCCTTGTCAATTTGGGTGGTCCTTTTGAGCTAAGACCCCGGTTGGAGTGGCGTATATCAATCTTCTGCTCAGAAACAGGGTCATTTGTAAAGTAACTGTGTCATGTCATCCATCATACGTGGGCCATAATCGTTCTAGAGACTTTCCATGTTATGATACGTGAAATATTTTTTGTACTGACCATCAGAAACCGGTTAGCAGAAAATACTCCGGGCATTTGAATCCTACACTGCAATCTACTCTTTATTAAATCTTCGACTGCCAAGGGATGCGCGCCAACCCATACACAACTCCTGTAAATGCTATGCACTCAATGAGATGATGATTTTGCTGTGAAGTTTCCCAAATCTTCCAACGAAACTGAATTGCCAAGATGTTGGTGAGGATCTGCGGTGCGCTCAGCGTAGCGCAGAGCCCTCTCGATTGCAGACTTCGCCCAGTGTTTGTTCCGATGCTCGTTT